GGCGCTGTCTACCACTGCCCCCTCACAACCAAGTTCGCGAACAGTTTTATTTATACCCTTCGACGTTGAAATATGGACTGCATGTGAGAATGACTGGGCTTTCTAGTAGGAATTGGTCCGCAAAGAGGCTCACTTGACGGCATGACCATCGCAGACACGCATCCGATCCCACACACGATCATGGTCGAGGCCAGCGTCCACCTGAAATAGCTGGGAGTTGTGACACTTAAACGACCACAGATTTCCAGTGATAATACCCTATAAATCATACTAGACACTTTTGAAGGAAAAACAACTTCTCTAGCGCTAGACTAACCTTCTTCCTATTGTCTGCAATAGTGGCCAAACAATAAAATAAGCTGGAAGTTCGACTGCTCCATTTATTATAAACGACCAGTAGTCATCAACTGGCAGATTAGAGATGTTCAGAGTCAGTCCATTATAAATTATAGCGTTCATTACCCTGTATATAAACTCTTCTAGGATGGCCTATTCAGACTGTGAATAGAATCAGTTGTTTAGGTCGACCCGAAGAACAGGACACGCGACAAAGCAGCTACGTAATGAACGAGAGTGCCACGTGACTCGTTGATGAAGACAAATGCAAACGGGAACATTAGAAGGGCCGCTAGAAAAAGCCTTCTATCCTTATAAAATAAAAGAGTAGCCCGACTGGGTGTCATCGCTCAGCCAGGGATTCCGTTATGGTGAACCCGAGCGACAACGGAGCTTCAGTTCCGTACTGCTTGTTTGCATATGGTTTTTCGCTTAATGGCAGACTTGAGAGGCGGAGCCCCTGCAAAAGGGAGGCGCCACTGGAGCAATATTGCGCCTTAGCACTCTTACCTTGCAACTTGCCGCCGAGTAGTCGCTAGAATGTTGTTAATGCGGACTACAACTACGAGCGCAAAAACGGCCCCAAAGATTTCTCGGAACCCACCGTAATCTATGGTGATAGCTGTCACCCTGCTCACTTGCATACTTTCTCGTCCACCTTAACTGGTCTCTCGCCGAACACAAACCGAGTGTTTGTTGGTCCGCGATGAGAAATTGGATGGGCTTATTTCGGAGCGGCCCCGCGGACGACCGTTCAAGATTGCTCCTGCCGTATATCTTCAGATGAGCCGTAGTCAATCAACGCAGAACGTTCTTTATTTCATCTCGCTCAACAGATTTCACCCATAGGAGCGTGGATCAGAAATTAAATCCTTCATAAATACTAATTGGAAAGCCGAGCCGGAGCGCGGTGGGGTGATGCTGAGACTCACCAGATATATGTGACCAGCAATGTTTTCTTCCGCAGGTTTGGCGTCTTGAAAAGGTCTGTTACATTATGGCTGCTTCCTTCTTCTTCTGTCCCGATATCAGACTCTCTCTGGAGCTGAAAACTCCTTTGTTGCAGAATGACGAAGGATTTTTGAAAGGGAGAAGGCGCAAAACTTCTTTTATTATCTCAGCAATGTTGCATGTACCGCTTAAAGGCAAAGCCCGCGATCCATTCGTCATCAGAGATAGTGAATTAGGAGTTCCCAGATAGACAACACGGGTTTCAGCTGAGATACCCGATAGTGAAGAGAAGTATTAGGGTGTCCGGAAAGTTTTGAGAAATTTCAACCAGCTCATTTAACATATATGAACAGCAAGAGGAGGTAGGAGTTCATAGTTATAATAAATATTGTCCAACCTATCTCCCTCACCTTTTTGGGCGGGATTACCTTGCGGCGGGAGCCCGACTGAACTAAGCACCCAGTAGCTGACGAGTGAGGGACCGTACGATAACATGTCTAAGCTAAAGTTCCATGTAAGAGACCGATTGATCTCCTAGTAGAGATGATTTTGAAGCGCGTTCTATCCAGCATAGGATACGGTTCCTCAATCCCAATTTGACCAATAAAGCAGCCAGAACGGTGAAGATGAAATAAAAGACGTTGGGAGGTGTGTGAGCTCGTACATTTTTCGGGTAATGCCAACTCATACCAACAATGGAGAATAACACCAACCAGCATTAAGTTTAATCTACAAACATTTCTCTTTCTAATACGCGCGCTCTGATGTTGACTTTGTGCTGGGGCATTCGCTTCGCTCACCTTCTTCAATTAGCAAAGTGCTGAAATTTTCTCAAAAACTTTCCGGACAACCTAATAGAAAAAAACATAATCAGCTGCCCATAGAACCTCATTCTCGATTCGCATTTTGTACGTGCCCAATTAAACTCCATCTCCAACACTACGCTCGGTTTTGTCGCGGGACGGTGCACCACTCCCGTATGTGCGATCGACATCGGGGCGGTTTCCAACGCACTCTTAATACTCCCGTGATGGCGCCGACTAACCAATCGGTCGCCCCATCGGGCCCACTACACTCCTCCTGCGCCCCCTAACAGGAGGAGCGGACCACCCCTCGGGGACCATGGGGTCTTACCGCCTATTCAACCGCCCCAACAGCTAGACGACAAGGACCAGGGTACCCAACCCTACCTACACATGGTCTAATACACACGCATTACCCACGCAATACACAACACGTACATGTACAAAACGATGGCAATACCAACATATTGAACACAACTACACATTGCGAACAAACATATTTACTACGCGAAATACTCACCACAATGAAATAGATATTCTCTCCCTGGTCGCCGTCTCATGGGTTTCGTTCCATAGCTGACTGCGCAATAGGCCCCCTGGCTCTGCCCCTCTAGCTACGTAATAGGCCTGCACGGCTTTACCCCTTGTACGTAATAGCGCAATATGCCCCCATCTTGCCGACGGTACTCCTCGATGCTCCATGCGATCGTCGATGTCCTCGTCGGGGCTGGAGTGGAGGCTGCTCCCAGTCGGGGAGCAGGGGATGGACATCGGCCGGCTCATGGCTGGCGCTCGAGCTGCCTCCAGCTTCGGAGTGGACTTCACCCCTCTACCTTCGGCGCTGTCACCGCGTTGCCCGGTGAAAACCGACCGGCCGCCGGCTGCCAGCCGTCGAACGTACTATACTAGCCACGACCGCAGGGGGCGGAGCCACGGCGCACGTGAATCGCACGCCGTGGGAACCGGGCACAGATGGGCCGGGGCGCGAGGCGCCCAACGGCGACCGCTCGCATCCGCGACACTTCTCGCATCGATGTTCCCGATAGACGACTCTAGAAGACAAGGAGGAGACAGGGACTGTGTAAGTAACGATTTCCATGCTTTTCCGTCCGGCAGTTACATTTTTCAATAAATGGCGGGCCTTGAGGGCGGCTGGGGCGGAGTCACAAACAAAGAGGTGTTATATGGACTATATTAACGCTTATAGCCCCCCTGCTGCAATTTTTTTCCGCGAAATCGATTAGCAGGTTGTCCGTCCACAGACCACGTCACCCTCCTTAAGCCATATTTTTAGCTTCTAGACCTGAGTTTTGACCTTCATTTTCAGCTTCTATACGCAGACCGAGCCTCTAATGTGGTCAACTGTGTGTCAAAAGTGTTGAGAAATAGTAGACTAGCTTCTCGCTGACATCACCATGACCTCCTTCCTGCCTAGTTTGAAGACAGTGCTAATTTAGTTAGGCTGCGTACTTTGCAGCAGCGTAGCGCTTCCAGCGTACGCCAGCGGCAGTGCCGGGGAGAGGATGCATATCGATCTAGCGTTCCCAGCGTCACCAGCGTCACCTAGCGTACGCTAGCGTTTCGCCACAGCGTTTTGCTGGCGTTCGCAGCGGCAGGGGAATAGAGACTATGGGGCCGTAAGAGGACGCCGCAATCAAGTTGTTATCTGTTAGCGTATGTGTGGCCCGTCAGAGACGCGCCATATCGATGTGTATTGTAGAGACTGAGGGTGAGTGAGAGACGCGCAATCGATGTGTTTTGTACCCTCCAGCTCTCCCATAGTCTCTACTCCCCTGCCGCTGCAAACGCTAGCAAAACGCTGGTGAAACGCTGGAGGTAAAGCTGACTAACGCTAGCGTACGCTAGCGTTACGCTGGTGACGCTGGGAACGCTAGATCGATATGCATCCTCTCCCCGGCACTGCCGCTGGCGTACGCTGGAAGCGCTTATGCTGTCGCCAAATTTATAAAGCGCCAGCCTTAGCATATGACGGAGTGTGTTTGGCGTGTGGATGAAGGGAGGCTAGTTGTGTGAGCGGGTTTTTTTGGGGGGGGGGTCTTTCAGAGCAAAGGGAGCGTCCAAAGTGAATCAACAGGGCTTTAGCGAGATGTCGTCTGCCTCAAACCGTTGCGAAGCAGTAAGTAAAGTAAAGTAAGCCTTCCCAGCCAGTAGTCTTAGTCTGTATTCTGACCTTTGTAGCAGAGAGGGTCCGGTACATTGCGTCATTGCTTGAGCGATCAATCAAATAAGCGACCACTGGGTTACGGCAGCTACAGCTGCGTACTTTCTGGGTGCGCGTCGCGAGACTGGAGATAAGCGCCCGCGGCTGCATTATTAACCAACAGCGGCTGCGTTACGGTAGGAAAGAACCAATGGCAGAAAACTCCGAAGGCGGGCTTCCCTCCCGCTACTGCTTTGCCAGATCGCGACACTACCAACTGTAACTGATCTGTCAATTAAAATCAAATGGGAGAGTGGATGGCCATTTTGTTCCTTAGACCAATCCGTGGTATTTTTTACACTGTCTATCCACATGAACCAGCTAATCTCATCTTGAGACCGACAGGAAAATGTTAGCGCCTCAATAATTCTCTATAACGTTGAGCAGGGAGGAGCTCCCACTTTGTGACGCAAGTAATTGACAGAGCTCAATTCATTATATGAAGTTAGAGCTTTGCACAATAGAAGGGTCTCCTTCTATAGCGAAAAAGGTTTTGATTTGTTGAGAATCCGCACGAAATCAAATTACGGGTTCTATCCGAAGTTCATCCACGTTATAAGGAGGGGGTGCAAGCTATCAATCTCCAAAATACAATTTTTTCTAAACAAACTAATTTATGGGACACTCACGGCTTCTAGTAGCTCTTCTGTATTTACTTCATCTTTCTTCCCATTCATCTTGGCGATACGCTGTAGCTGAACATTGGCCTCATCCCATTTGCCCACTGAGACGAGCCAACGCGGTGATTCGGGCAAGAAACTGAAACGAAAGGAAACTGGATATGCTCAAGAAAATATACTATATTTCCCAGCCTTCCAGAACTTTAGTAGAATCTTCAAGCTGAATTATCTCTCTGAATATGATGAAGTTGCCTGGCAGATGTAAGACCTAATGGACAGAAATCCCCCGGCCGACTGCTAATCTATTCTCACAAGCAGCTTATTTTTCATTTAAATACACAGAAAAAATTTTGGAACCAGATTCGTGTGGGAGTATGAGAACATTGGCTTCCTCTACTACTGGGCAGTTTGCCAAAATTCCACTTATTGGACCTTCACAACCTGTTCAATAGTAGAGTGGGTTCGTGTTGGAAGGATATTAACGATACCCTTTCCCCAATCGGGAGACTCCGAACGGAAAGGTGTGTGTCAAATGCACCTTGATCTCAGGAGGATGTGAATAATGGCCATGCTGTATCATTTCTCATGAACTTCGGAGGTCCAGTTTTCGTTTTGCCGAATTGGACGATGAACTGGGTTGGCTGTGCTGAGACGCGAGAGGAAGTGTCCTAGTGTTCTTCGCAACCCAGTGCCTCGTGTCATACGTGGCACTTTCATCTGGATGTCAAGGCTAAGGCACAGTTCTCGTAGGTTTATGTAATGTAGGCGCTGATTTTAGCAGGTTGCGACAATCTACAAGCCTGGAATTATCTCGGGGCAGATCTAAATATTACTTCTCCTGCCAGACCTGACACTTCTTCTGCTGCTTGAATCTCTCTGTATCTCATGTATTTTATGATCTGATGTGTATATCTCTCCGTATTGTAACTGAATATTCCCATATGACTGAGTGGCACCATTCACTTTTCCGCAAGGTTTCTATTTGACTAACATTCCCGTTTCTCTGATCTCGCGTATGCATTCGCTATACCGATTTTGTTATGTTGTGGTTATGTGTTGTAAGCTTTAACCATTGTTACCTGTTACTGTTGACATGAAGTTTTGTTTTGAACTCTCGTTTCGTTCTTTATTACTCTCAGTTCCTAGGGACGTGAACCTAATCGATCGATACGCGACTCGGACGCTCGGCCACTCCACGCCTAGCTTCCCGCCAAGTGTGACGTCAGCACTTCGAACGGACCAATGGCGAGCACTTCCGGTTCCGCCCCTTCGAGCCCCCTCTATATAAGGCGCTATTGTGAAGAAAAAGTAGTCTAACCCTAGTGTGAGCTAGAGGGTAGTGTCTTCGGACACTACGGTTCAAGTTAATCAGTCCGTTGTCAGTTCGCCTTCAACCCACGGGGCCGAGGTGGCTTCCGTGACTTGGGGGCCGAACCAAACCGAATCGATATCGATTCGGGTGTCCGCCTGCTAGGCCGGGGGACCCCGCTAAAACCGACTATAGAGCGCGAGTCCTTGCGCTGAATAGCAGTGCCACCTCCTGAACGGTAAACAGCCGGACCCGTCACGTCAGGTAATCCGTGTCGGTGCCTGTCATTGTTGGTCGGGGAGTGTACACTGACTGTAAGCGGAAGGATTCGCGTAGTTGTTCGAAGCGTATCTAAACGCATTCGAGGGAGTGAACATCAACTACTGCAGATAGTGTGATGGCAGGAGAAGCAGGACTAAGTCCAGCCGACAAGGAGAGCCCGAGTGGACGACCGAACTACGACAAGATCCCACGTATAGCAAGATCATAGGTAGCCTGGAAGCAGGGAATCTGGATGAGGAAATCGTCATTCCAAAGATGTCCCAAAAGTTCAAAGTGGCAGACTTTGTTATGGACAATGGTTACCTAGGCTTACTAGAGAACGATACAGTTCGTAGAGTTGTGCCGTCGTCGAAGAGAAGAGAAGTCTTTGAAGAAGGCACATTCGGGACTATTGGCAGGACATTTTAGCCCGAAAAAGCTGGTTAAGCAGCTGTCGAAGCGTCTGTTCTGGGAGACCATGAAGCGGGACGTGACTCAATGGTCCCAGGAATGTCGAGAATGTCTCTGTCACAATCATCGGCATCCAATGACGCCTGCGCTAAAGCCAATAGTGACTACTAAGCCATACGAACTGGTAGGAATAGACATTCTGGAGATGGGACTGACGACTGATGGAAACCGCTACATACTCAGCGTGGTGGATCACTTTTCAAAGTATGCAGGTGCATACGCTATCCCCTCGAAAAGTGCAACGGTGGTTGCCAGGGTATTCTTTGAAAGGTGGATCGCTGAGGGAAGTCGTCACCCGAAATGTATCCTGTCGTGAATCAGGGAGGCGAGTTCGATAACCGACTGATGGAAGAGCTCAAAACACTGATGGGTATAGACCACGTTTTCACGAAAGGGTACAATCCCAGAGAGAATGGTTTGACGGAAAGATTCAACCAGACGCTCATTCAGATGCTGAGGAAAAAGGTCACTGTACCCACCGAGTGGGATAGAATGCTCCCGTATTGCGTGCTGGCGTACAACACAGTAGCGCATGAGACAACGCGGGGAGAGTCGCCTTCTGCATCTTGCTGCCACGGAGTTGATCCCTTATATTCGTGGAACGCAGGTGCACGTGAAGAACCTATGCAAGTTTTATTGTCTGATGCGGTTCGTTATGGTATATGTGTCTCATCGATACTCTTAGGAATGAACAGCAGCCCACGAACGTAGCTCGTGAACTATGCACGCGAGCGAGTCTGAGTACAGATGCCGGGCAAAATGAAGTCGCATATGATCGCTAACAGACAAGTATTTGAAGCGCACCGAAGTCGGTGAGCTCGAGGGTGTACATTAAGGCCCCTCAGGGCAGAGAGCAAGGGGGCGCGGTGCGCTGTCACCCAAAGCTCGTAAACCCGTGGGATGGGCCTTATCGCGTGATTGAAACGAGTGAGAACAGCGCCCTCATAACCTGGATAGAAGGGGTTCGAGACCCGGTTAGGAGTACTTTCGACATGCTGGCCTAAACGTTGGACCAGGGAGTGTGCAGCGAACCCCTCTGCGGACCAACACGCAGAAAGAGAGGAGACCCAGGCAAATAAAGCCTGACTCTCAGTAATTCTCTTTCCAAAAAAGTCGTTTTGTTTCAGGACTAACACACACGATGTGGTATTGATATTCAGGCGGTCGAAGTATCCCAGAGCCAAATTTTCAGCCAATACCGTTCACGGAGAAAAAAGCAGGTGGAAAACTGGGCAGATTTCGGATAATTGGGGCAGTAAAGGGTAAATAGTGCCGGCTTTTTTTTCAACTTTATATCATCATTATTTTGCATGTTCTCCTTATTTGCGTCAGCGATCGTCGCTACGGTGTTTTGACACCGTCCAAAGCAGTGGAGAAATACACCAATTCGAAGAACTGGACCTCATGCTGTTGCTACACTTGTCCTCATTCTCACTGGCAAATAAGCAAAAAAATGCGATTTGGTCCCCCATGGTTCTGTCTCTCTTGTGTGAGCCAGAAACTAGTCCCATCATATCCACTTCGAGCGCATTGACACAAATCTTTTGTGGCCACCGAGTTGCAGAGTTATCAGTTGTTCAGGGTGATTACATGAAAATTCTCCCACTTCTCATCATGGGTCTCATGGCGCTCACTGCGGGCACCTGCACATTCTTTCTACCAGAAACTCTTGGCGCCCCACTTCCGATGACAATAGAAGACGCTGAAAACTTTGGTGAGATTCGGTCGTTCAAGCACTCGTCTGTGAAATGTTCCAGTTAATTTGCAGGAAAACGTCGCGGATTGTTCACCTTCGCCCACGAACAACGAAAGAAACGAGGAAGCAGCACAACGTCAATTGTTACCCCCTCCAGGAAGAAAGCCAACAGCGTTCCGTTGTATATTTCTGATGTGGAGTAATAACCTGAGGAATTTCCAACTTTAGATTTAATTTAACTTTGGATAACCTGGTGTGTTATGTGCATGAGTGTGCGACAGCGAAGCTTAGCTGTAGACACTGCCAGGAATCTGTTTCATGGCTTGATCCAGCTGTCGATTAATTTGTACAAATTTCATAAAGCACGAGAGAAGTTGCGATACTTCAGAGTGATCATGACGAAAACCAAGAAATTCTGCAAGTTGGAGAAAACAGGAGCGAATACTTTCCCTCATTTCTCCCTTCAAAAAGAACTCAAATAGAAGTACGAG